GAGGACAAGCGGGGAGGGAGGGGGGTGAGGTGCACCGTGTTTTGGTTTTTTATTCTAAAGCAGCCGAAGGGTGACGCGATGGTGGGAGTGACTGGGGCACTCGCAGGTGGTCGTCACAAAGTCCGCTTCGCCCCCACACACCCCCCGCGCTGTGCCGGGATGCTGAGTCAGCAGTTGCCGCTGGGCTAACTTGCGCTGCAGGAGGGGCTGCTCTCGGGTCAGGACTCGGACACGGCGCATTAAAACAAAAAATAAAATACGTATACACACATTAACACTTTTATTTAAAATTCCTGTTAAAAAAAAAAACTGGTAGGGGGTTGCTTCGGACACTGCAAAGCTGCCCCTACGCTGCTGCGCTCCTCAGTTTGAACCAGCCGCAGTCCCAAGGGAGATGTTGTCCCCCTCCCCGAGCACCCCGGTCCTCGGCAGGGTCTCTGCTGGGGAAAGCCAGGGCTGGCAGCAGCGCCGGCCTCCGCCTGCGTGCGCGTCTGTTATGACAGGTTAGGCCACCGCTCTGAATTTTGATGATAGTTCGTGCGCAAAGCTGACAGTACCTGTAGGGTGGCGGCAGAAAAATGACCTCTGACAGCCGGTGCTTCCTGAGACAGAGAAATCTCGCTGGTTTCGAAGGGGAGACCCTGGTCGTGTACAGGGCAGGATCCTCTGTGCAGGAACGGGCTGGTGTCCCCTTCTTCCTTACAGGTAAGAGTGAAACACTTGGAGGACAGGGGGAAAAGGGGGGATTCAAAAGCTGGCTCATTCCTTCGGTAATCATGACGTCTCGAAGATCTTCCACGATTGGCCTTGGCCGCAGGAACGATTTCGCTAGCAACAAGTCTGCCATTCCCTTTTCTGCAGGGCAATCACATAGTGGGACCCATGCAAAACCACTCACTCCTCCTCCGGCCTGTATGGGTCTGTTAAATTACCAGGAAAGGGGAAGGGGGGAAAAAATCTAAACTCTTGACTGAACTCTTACATCAATTCTTGCATTTTAAACTATGCACACGTAGGAAGATTTTTATATTATGTATCTGATCTATAATCCCTATCCCTATACAGTCAGGGTGAGGATAGTTACGTGGCCAACAAAGCACATTTACTCGCTACCTGTAACAGAAAGCGTATAATGAAACAGCCGCCTTGTGGGAAGCTACAGATAACACTGTACTTCTCTGCTTAGAGACGAATTCGCTGTAAAACATTAACTTTACATATGCTTGACACTTAAATATATAAGCTTTGTTCAAATCTCCATCCTTGTAACATTTATTGCAAGGTGGTAACAAACGCAACAACTCGGAATTCACACACAACGCAGTGTTTTGCAGCCAGCAGTATGTCTGGGATCTGCTGATAAAACTCAGCTTAGGCCAATGTTCAATGCCTACAGCAAGGTATTTATTTCAAAACTATTGATGAAATATTTTCCATCTACACATAATAAATACAGTATTATAAAAAAAATTCACAACCATTCAAGACTCCAAGAACGAAATGTTTTACATACATAAAGAAGCAACCACGCCAAGGAACTGTATTCTCAAACTCCGAACTGATCCAAAAAAGAAAAGTTCAGAAAGTTGAACAGATTTTTTTTTAAATGGGTATTTTCAGCGTTAGCACAACGTGCTTTGTAAATCACAGTTTTAATAAACTATCTTAATACTTATCACACTTGCATTGCACATTATCTGTGGCACTTAGTTAACAGATAACCACATTACAAAGTCCACAGATACTACAGGAGCTGACTAGAGTTCAGCTCAGTGCCTCGCTGCTGCTTCCAGAAGAACAATTTCCTCCAGTGCAACACAGTTGGGGTGGCTGGTTACGGAGTGGACGTAGCAGTTCAATAACCCCACCTCCTTTCCCAGCACGCTCTGCACCTCATAACTCTGCAGTGATAAAAGCATGTTGATTAAAACAAACAGTCCTGGACATTCTGTTCTAAGCAGCATTCGGCTTGGAAGATGCAGGGTGTAAGGTCCTCTTCCAACAGACAATTTTTTTAAGGACTCAAAAAGAAAGGTGCATTAGAACTGATGAAAAGAATTAATACATTAGGTTTTCAATAATTAGATCTCACTCCTGCTTAAAGTGCCCTACAAGGCTTTTAGAAATGCGCTGGCTTAAGAAAAAAACAACATCCCCCAAAAAAGCTACCGTGACTCCGTGACTTTGAACTCCATTTTGCTAAAGCATAACCTACATAACCTACATGTGCTCGCTTTATCCAGCTTTCTGACACCGGTAGGAACTCACATGTGCTAGCAATGTGTATATAGATCTACTATATATTGATTACCTTAGCTGACAGATCTACTAAAGGAAAAAATATATTCTAGCTTTTTCTACTTCCCCTCTTCTAACTTTGCGTTGTATCAAGCATCATTTATGATTCCTGGCACCTACAGAGTCCCTTCTGTTTAACGATCTGACTGGCAGTTTACCCACATGACTTGTGCCTGAGCGAATTTGTAAAGACTGTATTCTGCGTGGAGGAGAGGGGTGTGAGGCTGGGATGATTTCTCTAAGATGAGGGAGCACGTTAGCAGAAGAAATGGTAACACCGATAGCTGGTACCCAGCCCGAGAGGGTGGGTACTATCTCAGGTGGCAGGTTTACATCATTTTCTCTCCTCAGCAGGACTTGCCTATGACCAGCCTCTGACCATGCCCCACTTTCATCTGGGCTGTGCATTTGTACATGTACGTGATACCCATGTCTACTGCCTGATTCAAGGTATAAACAATCCCGTCCCTTTTCTTTTTCCTCAACTATTTTTACCCCAGACCGGTTCTGCAGTCCAATTCACCACGCAGCTGCACAAACAGCTGGTGTAACAGAAGGGTTGTCACAAGGTAAGGAACAAGTGGCCAGGGGCAGTGGTGGCTAAAACCAACCTCCCTGCCAAAAGAAGTGATTACAAAGCTACACCCTAAGAAACTTTAGCAGCACTGGCAAAAAAAAAAAAAAAAAAAAAAACTTGTGATTAATCTTCATTAAGATGTGCTGCTTTTTAAAATACAGCAGTTCAGAAATGGAAATGCTTATGAAAAAAAAGGAAAAAAATATCCCTGCATTTCAGCTAGGGAAAAAGAAAGTTTCTAAGTTGCCATACTTCTAAATACTAGCATTATAAAAACTGAAATATGAAGAAGAGGTTGTTTGAATTCTAATAACTAAAAAAACCCCTACATTTTGTCAGTCTGTAACTAAACCAGACACAGCCTGTAAAACTTAGCAAGACTTAACTGCTATTAAAAGAGCAAACATATTTTTGAAATTTGTTGTCTCTCTTTGCTTAAATGAAATATACACCCTCCAGCATAAGAAAAATAATTTATGATTTCAGAGCACTGTTCCACTTTAAATATTATCCATAAATCACATTAAAAGTATGGTGCGTGTAATAGCAAAATGCTAGAAGACTACGTTAAGATGGGAAAAGCAAAATGACCCCGATACGTGTCACTTAACTGAAGATATTTAACCGGGACGATTGAACAAGACAACGGGTTGCCCTTTGCTCCCTTCCACGTGCAATGGAGAAGCGGGGATCTCAAGATGCTAATGGGACTTAATCACCCTCTGAAGGTGCCGCTCCTTCCCTGCTGACCATCCGGCAGCCAATGCCAGCCAGGCACCTACCCGGGCGCGTCCCTCACCTGCGATAAATCTGGGTCACTGTGCCAAATGTCAGGGTTCTTCTGATATCCCAGATTAAAGGAATAGCTACTTCACGATTACATAAACCGTACTTTAGCCCATGGATCCCCGTGGCTTATGCATGTTTCATTCATACAATTAGAAAGTATTATCTTGCATGTGCTTTGCAAATTTCTCTACTATTATTGCCTGCCAGTAGTTTCACGGTTGTGCTACTAGAAAGTAGTTGTGATTTAGAAGACAGTCCTGAAAAGGTGGGATGCTTGGACCGTATCTTCGCTGTCTTTGAATCCTCAGTCAGAAAATGGAGTAAAGCTCAGCACTGCCCACCGCAGCTCTGAGTGTCTGGACACAGTGCTGCTTGCAGACAGCTCTGCAGATCTGCAGCTGAGCTGAAGCTGCACATCCCATCTGCAGCATCCCTCTTCTGAAAAGGAGGGCGTCAGCAGGGGGAAGGTGGGGTTGCCAAAGGGCCCAGCCCACCCAAATCCCAGGCTGGACATGAGAAAAAAATCATTATTTCTAGTAAAATCTATTGCTCCTAGTGCAGTTCTGAAACAAGCTGCCTGGAAAGGGAGAATCTCCATCCTTTGAGGTTTTCAAGACGCTGCCAGCCAAAGTCACGGCTGACCTGCCTACACACTGACAATAGCCCAGTGTGAGTGGTAGGTCAGACGATGACCTCCAGGAACCCCTTTCCCCTCTACGACTCATGAATCTTTCCATCTGATTCACATCTCCTGTATTCCGCCTCTACAGTAAGTTATATAGTTCAACTTTCTTTTGGCAACATTCATTACACCTACCCCATCCTCATTGGCGGAGGACATCAGGAGAGAAGAGATTGTCCTTTGTAATAGCTGGAATGAGAAAATTAACATGTTTTGTTCACAACAAAAATCTTATGTATGCAAAGACACTCTGCAGGTTAAAACAGTCACGTTGAACAAAGATTTATTATTTTAATATAAAATGGCTTTGTTTCTCTGGCCAAGAAAGCAGAGGAGAGGTGACACAACAGATGTTCAGAATACGAGTTTAAAAATACACATTCCCTTTAGGCTGTGGAGACTGAGGTTTCCCAAGGCCCAACCAACAATGCCCTTCAGCTGGACCATAAAACAGTTTGCAAACCTTGCTGAATTCAATGACTATTATTTGAGTAAGATCTGGGAACTGGGTTCTTAGTCCAATGAAACACAGGTTTAGTGTCAGATTAAATTATGGGATACTCCTACATCTTTTCATTTTTCTTCTGACAGAGCTGTTCATAAAAGTGTCGTTAGAGTACCTATGTGTCTAACATCTCTAGCCTCGCTATACTCAATGCACAGAAGCTCGTTTTGTGCCATACCTTTACTTTCACTGCACTTTGAGATCGGGATGGACAACTCAAGAAGACTTCCAGCTGCATTTTCAAAACGGGTGAAATGACAACTTCAGAGCACTGGTTGCAATACAGCAATCCTCTGAAACATGCAAATAATGATGGAAAAACATAAGAGAAATGGAAAAGCTATCAGTTGTAAATCAAAACATACAAAAACCCAGCTAGTTTAATCTCTGAAGTAAATTGCTGGTGGACTTTTAGTAGGAAAGCCCTAGTAGAGATTCAGTTGGTAATGGCAAATAGAGCTCTTCTGTTGGCAGAGCTAAGTAACTCTAGGAGGATCTGAACTCTTCTAGCAAAAGGATCCTCCTCTCATGAGTTTTGGCAACATGGGGGGAGGCTGCTATTTACAGTCACTCCACTTAAGCAACCATTAATCTCATAACCTTCTAAAAATTATGGCAAAAGAAAATTTGTAGTATAGATTTGGTCCAAGTAGCTTATTGATTTAGGCCCTCATTCAGCAAACCTTCAACATTTTCAGCACACACTTAAGTCATATGCATTAAATTAAGCTCAGCGATAAGTGCTTGTTGGAATAACATTTTAAATAAATATTGATGCTACATTGTTCTCCAAATGAAGCAAAAGTGTCCTTCATAGTAGAGATATTTTAAACTGAACCACACTACTATGTGAACGTACACAAATCCTTATTTTTTGCACTGATAGTATAATACAGGAGAACTTTTTTTAAATTTTCAGCCTTTTCCCCCCAGAGGCTACACATAACAAAGCATAAACATTAAAGCTTCTCATATTTAGGAAAATGCTATCTATTTCATTAAGATCAAACCCACCCAGCTTCTCCTTATGCTTTTTGTAAGCTTTCCCAGTAGAAAGAACGCCCCTCTCCTTTTTTTAACACTCCAACTACTCTCTTATCCTCTCATGTGTTTATCCCATCAGGTATCTCGGACTCTGCAAGAGCAAGCTGGCTAAGCTGCTGAGGGGGAGGCTTTCCCAGAGCATGCCGATGTGACGCAGTTTTAGCATTTCAGGTGGTAACAGGTCCTGTAGGAGCAGTCTTCACATTTGGGACAGTTGTACTCACTGAATTATTCAACATCCTTTCTAGAAAGGTTATAAATTTAATAGGTCTGAAATGCAACTCTTTTCACACTTAATCAAATTACAGCAAAGATCATAGTTCTGTATAAAAACAAGTGAATTGGTGCTACACAGTGTAACAAGGTAGGGTAGACAAACACAAGAAGCTACTTTTAAAGGAACTTAAAATCAGAACTGTGATTTATGTGGCTGTTTATTAAAACTAATATTGTAATGCAGGGGGCTATGAGATCTTTATAAGCAATACTTTAAGATTAGTTTGAAAAAAAAATGTGATAACTGCAAATTCAAACCATTTCCTATCTACTTGTATCTATCTTAATAAATTAATCTAGCCTTGTAGGTTTTATCAGTTCATCAGCAATAAAAATACTACGTCTTAGTTTTAGGAAGGAACAAAGTGCAGCCTGTGCCTGCAGGACGCATTGCATCACCCATTGGTGTTACGGTTACATCTGCAGAACACCTGGAGTGCTCTGGAGCACGCTGACTCTCACCTGTCCTGGGGACACAGTTCCAACTTTCCATTGCCACATCTGTCACAAGTAGGCCAGGAGAAAGCAGTGCTCTCATTAACTCCAACAACAGTACCTGCAGAAGATTAAATTCTTACAAAATACTAACATTAAGCTAGCAAACACAGTCACTCCTGGCCTCAGAGCAGGTTTGATCCTTTCTGACTCTCAGCTTAAGAATAAGACTTCTTGGAACAAGCATCAGCTCTTCCAACAATCTCACTCCCTTTCTCCTTTGTCCCTCCAACAAGGGATGAGAGTATGGCAAAGTGTGTTACATTCTAAAAATACCAGAAGGTAGATAATTGATAAATAACTTCCCAAATAGGTTAAGTTCTTTTGGTTTGGATTTTAATTGGTTTTTGATTTGATTTTGTTTTCTTTCTTGGTCCTCTGATGTTTCCTTGGCAATAAATAGCTAAAAAAAAATCATCAGATCAGATATTGATAGTTAGGAAACAGAAATCAATGAGAAGACTCAATACCTTTTGAAAACAACGATGCAGGTTAAATTCCATTAACAATGGAGTTATTCTTCATTTATACTGATTTAACAGAGATTAGATCTGGCCCACAGATTTAAGTGTATGCCTAAGAAGGGAATGCCAGAGATACTTGGGACTAATATAAAGGGCCTTGCTAGTTTTGGCAAGAAAAAAATATATTCAGAGTTTTATGAGAAGCCAATAAAGAGTGTATTATGTTTTATGATAATGATATGCAGAAACTGTGAGCATTATTTATGGAGAAAATACTTCTAAGTATTCTGAAACATACAAAGTGGATCACCTGTAAGAATGAAATTACACTAAAATAAACCCTGACTGGTACAACAGAAGTAGAGACTAAAAATTCCAGCTCCTATTGAGCAAGAATCTCACAGATTTATACTGCATTCAATAAAAGAAGCCCTTGGAGACTAGGGAGCATTTACACTGTCTGGTAAGAACAGGGCAAAAATCTCTTGCTTTCCTGGTTCTCCTGGGTCAAGGACTGACAGGAAGGAGGAAAATACACATAAACAACAAATCTACTTTTCTTTGGGAATTCAAAGGACAGCAAGTGTGAAGATCAGGAAAGGTACTTCTTAAATACAACATTTATAACCAAATTTCTATGCATATAACAAAATGACATGGATTTCACTAACAGAATAAGCAACTGTGCATTTAACTGTTACAGGGATAATTCTGATTCCTCAGTTTTTGTGATAAACTGGCAGTTTCCATCAGCACTTGCTACTACAAGGTAGTATGCTTTCTGCCACAGCATGGGCATGTTTCCCTTGTTCATGGAAAAGAAAACCTACCAATTAGTTCACTGAATATGTTTCCTTTTCATTAAAAAATAATTTTAAAACCAAACCAAACCAGAATCCCCTTTTCTGACAGATCTGTTTTGCTCTAAGCCTTTTAACTTTCTCCTACTTGTGTGTCATATTGCAACTCCAGGATGTTGGTGCACAAGTAATACAAGTACATGTGAAGAAAATTAATCAGTATCATACTGACAAGATTATGTCTAGTGGAGAGGTTTATTTTGATGACAACATAGAATTCCCTCCAGAAAACCACCACTGAGGTCAGAATAAACACAACTGAAGGTGGCAACAGATCTAATAACCTAGTAACAGTCTTGCGCATCTTGCATGCAAAGTGATTTCTCAAGTTTAAGCTGCTGAACTGCTGCACATCTTTGTCAAGACTCTAGATTTTGCTTGATGTTCACAAACACTTTGGATATTTTCCCGAGATCCTTCTTTTAAATGTAAACGCACATAGCCAAAATTCGATTTTTATCTCTAGTCTATTTTTATGGGTTGTGGCTGACATCATTAAGAAGAGACTGATAATAGGACAACAGCTGGAAAAACAGGTCTCTGGTGAGGAATGCAAAGAAGGGCTGAGGATTAAATGTAACACACTGTTTGAAATGTTCAAAAAATGAATGTGGGATTTTTTTTTCCAATCAGTTACCCTGATCAATAGGCAGGAAGGGGAAAAGTTCAATCAGAAAGAGAAACCTAGATAAGCTGATTTTGTTCCCACTGTTAAGAGGGAAACTGAAAAAAATCCCCACCCCTAAATAAGGGTGTTGGGTATGAAAATATCCAGTGTCAAAATTCAAGCACTGTTGGTTGAGTCATATACTAGGCAAATATAATTAATCAAGTAATATTCCCACATAACATATGTGGTATGGACTAACTAGAATTTGTTCATAAGCATGGTTAAGAGGAAAACCAGTTCTGTGCAGTATGAACTGCCAACATTTAAGTCATCCTGACTGCTACCATACAGCAAAAAGAGGTTAGAAATTACTTTGTAATGCATAGCAATAAGAAAATAAATCTATTAACCCTGAGCTCACAGGTGAGAACCACAGACTCATCTTTAAAAGAAGAATAAACTGTCCAGTAGAAAGCAGCCACAGGTTTTCACTCATCTGTTGAAGAGCAACACACTCCATTCCAGAGCTGATATGACTGGACATAGTCTCTGAAACAAGGATTTCTGAAAAACTCAGTGGATCTGCTTGGATTGCAACATTGTCCTTTTAAAGCTGGACCAGCTATAGAGTTGCACCAGGTTGCTCAGGGCCAAGCTCTGAGCAGGAGTTAGGACTGGAGGAACTTTAGAGGTTCCTTCCAACCTAACTCATCCTATTTATATTTCTCCTTTTGTCATTCTTCCATCTGTAATACAGTACATGGAAAGCATGACACCTCCCATGTGTGTAAGTACGTGTTTACACAATAGATCACAAAGGTGTATTCTCTTTGCTCTACTGGAAAAAGAAAGGACAGAGAAATGTTTGCTTTTTTCTACTACATACACTGTCAATGGGACAAAAAAAGACAAGCATCTCTCACACTTAGTTATAAAATTAAGAGTGGAGAAGTTGATCTACTGATCTACACTAAGAAGATAATTCTTAGTGCGACTATTGAAGAGGGTTTTTTTTAAAAAAAAAAGCCCCAAAATATTTCACACCCAGTGACAGAGATTCCTTTCAAGTCACTCACAATATGGATGCAAGCTGTACATAGCAACCAAGGCCTTGAGTGAAGTGCCTCTAGTTGTGCTTGTTTTTCATTACGCAGCATTAGAGTTCAGGATTTGTCATTGCAAGGTGCTCATATATTAATCACAGGGGCACTGCTAACTTGTGGCTCTGCAGTAACAGAATGTGTGTTTGGTAACAGCTTTGCATGGTTCCAAACTGTCTTTCCAGTGCATCACATTATAGCTGGAAGGATTAATTTGTAGCCATTATTTGCTATTATTTTAAAGTTCATTTCAAATGCTCCAGTGAAAACTTGAAGGTGTAACTGTAGAAGAGTATCAAGAATATTCTACAAGGGCTACTGGAATCATATAAGTTAAATTAAGAAAGGAAATTGTCTTTAAAAGCCAAAAGTTTTTCCCTATAGGCACTCTACAGCTGGGAGGTTTAAGAAACTGACTGGACAAAGCATTAAAAAATACACAGTAGGAAATGTTTCTGCATGATTAGGAAATGCTAGAAAATACATTGTAAGAAATATTTCTGCATGGTTAGTAATAGGACTGAAATATTAGACAAAGCAATGATCCAAAGTGGCTAGTGAGCAAATATTGGCCAAGATGTGCTAGATGACTATGGGGAAATATTAAATTGCCCCATTGCAGCAAACCTCCAGGGAAATCAGACGCTAACCCCTACCATTCAGGATCTGGTTAAAGTATCTTATTCATCTGCCTAAAAAATATTAGTATACTGTACTGTTGCCAACATCAACAAGGCTGGTGTGAACAGAAGGCTTCTGAAAGAAGATGGCAAAAGGAGGAATATAATAAAACAGATTGTGCATCAAACATTTATTCTGGGGTATGAGTGAGTGGGAGCAGAGCTTGGCCAGCAAAAGGCAAACACAGCCCACAAAGAAGTATAGAAACTTAAATATCCTAATGACCCACAGCAATACTGTGCTTTTTTATCCCTCCATGCTGTTTGTGCAAGAAATCAATACGAAGACCTAAAAGATTAAAGTGAGCACAAATAATTAACCGCATTTATTTCAGGAAAGGCCATACAAACCTCTTACAGCACAAACAGAGTTGGCCTGTGTTGTAGAATCCAGCTCATCGAGTCTGACAGGGCCAGTCAGCTCACTGAGGTCAGCACCGGCAGCCGAGTACAAAAGAGGCTTTTGTAATAAGAGAACAGTACGTTCAACACAAATAATTCTACCTGCCAACAAAGACATTTCAACTCAGTACAGTAACAAGGAAAAAGGTGACCATGTTAATTGTCATGGCCAATAAAGACAACGATCTCTGCCAGCTACTAAACAGATGGATAGACCCCATCAAGTTTTCTCAATGACAAAATATTTTGCTTTCAGTGATACATGCATCATGCTCTCATTACACTTTGCAACTCACAGGGAAAAAAGTTTTTTTTAAAAATTCAAACCTGGCAGAAAAGAGTCTGATTCCACTCTAACTGCATCACACCATGCTCCCTGCAAACACATTACTGTCTATCAGTTGGACACCCCTTCAGGTGGTCTTACTTTCTTTCAAAGATTACAAAGAGAAGGTGCATGCAGTGCTTCATTGTTTAAAGCAGAGATTTTTGCTACAGGACACACAGCCATTTACAAAGGTTGGCACTCCCAGTACACTTACGTTTTGGAAGTGACTGACGGTGTGAGACATGAACTACCCACGCAGGCACCATACAGAACCCTATCTGAACCTCAAAAAAGAGTGACTAAAAATGAATGTAAAGTTAACTACCACCCTTACATGACCTATATGGTGGCAAAAGCTCACAGCTAAGATGGTATAGGAGAGTTTGTAAAAGTTCTGTGTCTAGCAACATGCAAGTCTCTAGATTCACCCTCTTACTCCTTTTAGAGGCAGCAAATTCAATATAACAAGTTTCTGCAAGAACAACAAAACAATGAAACCAAGTTTCTAGACTATTTCAGTTGGAAGGGACCTACAAAGATCATCTAGTCCAAATGCGAGTCTTTGAGTCGTCAGCTAGCAAATTTGATTGACATTGGTCATTAGATTCAACAGCCATCAGGGAAGACTGACAGAAATACTGTTAGACATACAACAAGATCACTGAATTTCTCCTTTACTTTGGAGATCAAGCCAAAAATGTAAAAAAAGGAACCTCTGGGAAAGCTCTAATTACAGCCCCTTTCAAATTTCTTCCCAAACTTGTGATGTCTCACCTTCACCTGAGAATGAAAGTCTCTGCAGGTCACGTATTGCAGTGTCAGTAGTTACGATGCTATTTCAGTTAGATTCCAACTGCTTCAAAACCACACATAAAGCTTACCATTTCCCCACAGCGCATCCTTGAAGAAGATGGGTCGTGAGGCAACGCTAAGGGATTCTGTGATTTCCGTACTGAGAACACACGATGCAGCAACTGACACAGGAACAACTTTTGGAGTGATATGAACCACATTTTGCAATGTGGAGTCAGTCACAAACAACCAAATTTCTCTTTGATTTATAGGAACACTGTGTTTTGTCTATGATTAAAAAAAAAAAAGAAAAGATACAAAATTGTAATGCAGTTGTTAATTTTTAGTAGAAGACTAAAGTAACATCCTCATTTTTGAATAACTAATACAACTGACAGAAATTATTACATTTAGGATTCATACAGTATAATGAATCAAAGCTCTACTGGTATTTTTCATTATTTCTTACTGCAGATACAAACATATCTACCTTAAAGTAACTTTCCAAGATTGATCCACTGGAATCTTGGCTTTACCTCTGTCAACTATCATGCTTTATCATAGCTTACTTGGATTGTACTAGGGATTTGAAAATATATTTTATTAAAAAAATATATGCATAGGAATTTGCAATGACAATGTAAGTTTTCTGCCTAAGACAGGTATAAAAATACTATGTGTGACTAAATTAAGGTATATCACAACTACTGATGTACGGCCAAAATACCCACATTTCATCCCAGCCTTTATATCTGAAATGATCACAAAATCAGTAGCATCTTTTAAATTTTTCACACTAGGATGATGAACAAGACAGACTAGACAGAGATTACATACACATCAGTGCTTATTCCAGGGTCTCTAACAAAATCAAATGGGATACAATTTGAAGACTCATGCTTTTCTTCATTTTTTGTTTTACCACAGCTTTTATAATATCTGTGTGTATGTGAATTTTCTCAAGCTTTAGAAAAAATGGGTTTAATAACAAAGCATATTTCACATTTACTAGTCCAAGCAAATTGTAAATTTTAAGATTCTATTATTCTATTTAACTAAAATTACATTACTTTCTTAAATCAAAAAGGTTTTGTTACTATTTTTAATTAGTCTGCTGATTAAAAATCCATACCTAAAACATTTAAATTAAAATTAAATACTACAATGACACACATCACAAATATTTTATTCTCAGAGTTTCATGTCTTTAGCATAAGGTAATGCAACAATAAACCCAACTTTTTGTCTCTGGTTGAATTCAAACCTTGAAACCGTTAACCACGCTAAAATTACTAAATTTAGTTTTTTCTCCACGCTAACAGCTCTTAGAACAAATGCAGTAATTGTAAATAATGACTGGGAAAATTCATAACTCGGATATTACAGTTATGCCTTAATACAATATATGCTGCTTATTGCATTGATGTTGTTTCTTTGCCTAGTAACTACAAACATTTGAGTACCTCCTCTCAGTAGATAGCATTAGGACAGCTTCAAAGAAAGAATTTTTACAGCTGTCCTATGAGAATTACTAACACATTAAAATCTGGCTTTCAGAAGAATCATCCAAAAAGTAAATAATAATAACAGCAAAAATCACAAGTTAGTATAAAATCATCATCTTGCTATGTGTGACAATTTGTTCTGAACAGAGAGGACACAACAGACAAATAGCAGCAGGATTGAGTTATAAGGAAGGACAGCTCCTTAACCACAGACGGAATATATTTCCTCATATTCCTTCTGTACCACAGTACAGATTCTGAGTAATAATAAAAGCATATTTCCATTCCTCCTTCACAAAAATGAAGTATCTCAGAATACTGTAGCTACATAGAATAAATTCTGTTTTTTAAAGTACATTTGAATTAGCTCACATAGCAGATTATCTAATAATAATAAGTCTGCAAAATAAACCAAATCATAGTCCCTTCCTCACTTATTACAAATTGATGATTTTGCATGTGAAGGATATGTCCTCTTGGCAAAGGCAACTGCAGTAAACAAGCTAATGTTCGTGACCTTCTTCTGGGAGGATTAGGCAACCAATACAGTAACAGCAGGTAAATACCTTTACATTCTTAGAGCAGTTATTCAAAAGCATTATCCAACAGTTATCTAGAAGTTAGGCAGAAGAAGAATACCTTCTATTGCTTTTCCAGCATTACTTTGAGAAAATTTATGAGAACTCATGTTTTTCACTTATGAAAATTTAGTGCTAACAGTTCAGCAATTCAATAGCCATTTAAAAAATGGTTAATAAACCTCCTATTAGCAAGAAGAAATCATAGACCCTTTTGCTGTGATAGACAAGCTTCCACTCTTCAAAATCACATCTGTCCCTACTAGTAGATGTAGATGTCAGAGGCAGATGTAGACATTCCTGAATACAAAAAATGTGGCTAGGATATGATCAGTCTGTAATTTTGTTTTATTTTTTAATAGAACAGGTTTCTTGGAAATAGAAGTTTATGAATGTGTGTCCACCTTTCTGTTAGCACCCTAAAGACCCCTTCAAGCTAGCTCTAATTTCATGTTTGCAAATACTCTGTTAAATTGTCACTTAGCATGAAGAAAACACAAGAGATATCCCTCATCTCAGGAGTTAAAAGTACTCCCTGCCTGAAAATCAAATCATAACTCATTGGCTTTTGAAACAAAAGGGCAAGAGCTAAATTAAATTTATGTCTCACACTGGTGGGAAGCATCTCCAGCTATTTTGCTGGCCGTTCTGGAATTTCTTTGTCTTTGGTTCATATGCTTTGATTCACACTTTGTTTCTTGTGGAGCTGATGGACAATTGCAAATTATTCTCCACCAGAATTCAGTGCTGTCTGTACTGAGGATCCAGTCGCCAGGAAAAAATAAATAAATCAGCAACAAAAAGTTCCTTTAACTACTGAGGGAGTTAGCAACACTTTGAAAGAAAATTGTAGCATCATTCCGAAACAAATAAATAAAACATAATTATAACCCTTCCAACACAGTATGGATAGCAGATGTATTTACCTAAGAATTCCTCCTTTCTACTAACTGGACCATAAAAGCCAAATTTGCCTGAGGGGCTTCTACTGAAGTCAACAAAAATAGTCCACACACTTGCATGCAAAGAGCAAAATTGTATTTTTATATAACCATCGTTTTTAAATTCTATCCCCACTCAACTGACTGGGAGCTTTTTGCTGTGTATGTAAGGGTAGCATTTAGCTATAAATCGAGTCTCAACTAACTTTCTGCAGTGCAATATTATCTCTGGTTAGATAGCAATTTATTCAGAAATAATTCACTTTCTAGACTGGGTGGTATTGAATCTGGAGACATCGTTCTTTTTACCCATTTACAAGCATTTCAGACCTGGAGATAATTCTGCTCATACAGCTCTTGAAGATCATCCAGGAATGTTTTGGGTCTTCCCCTAAACAAGAGAAATGCTGGCTTCTTCACATAAACATTATGTTGATCTTATATTGAATTCATTGCTAAGTGAAAATATTACCTGAAGCTTTAGATACAGCACTTGAGCCCAAAAGTTACAACGTTCATTACAACCATCGATCTGAAAATAGTACAAAAACAGGGGATGAGATAAACATGATACCAGAAATCCAGTGGAACAAAGTATTGCTTATCTGACTTGTAAAGCAGATTACCTGAAGAATTTGCTTTAGACCATGAACAGCTGGTGGCTGGTACAAATTAGCAATCTGTTCTTCCTCATCCACTTCCACATGTATTTCACCAGACCGGGCAGTAAGAATATAACAGAAGCTGGGACGAGGAAGATTAGTTGTCATCTATTAAAAAGTAAGGAAAAGAAACATGACCTTAAAAAAGGCACTTAACTTTGGCCAGGGAGGTTTTATAGTAATAGCCAAAATGAGCAACACAATTTACATTTTAAGAGGGAGAGGAAAACAAAATTATATGGTTAATAACGACTCTCTGAAGTAGAAGTAGAGTTAATAAACTGACTTTTACAAGTTATAAGTGAAATCAGCTTGTGCGTATCATTCTTTCCATAATCTGACATTGATCCTCATCACAAAAACATCTCATGATTTGGCACACTTGGCAAACACTGTGACTTTTTCAAGGTGCTTGTTGTTGGCTTTGCATTTTTTTGTTACGTGGTAGGAATGTCCCGATTATTCTTATTTTTTTCTTAACATCCCAAACTTTTCTGAGATTTCGGGGCTTTTGCATGTGGGTGGGTTTTTGTGATAGTAAACAGCTGCCGAACTTTTAAAGCTGCCAAATTAAATCCAGGACAGCACAAGGAGATAATGAAGAACAGGAACGCAACAGCTACAAGAACTGCTGTCTTTGTGTTATGCCAGATTTTTCTTTCCCCCTTAACAAGTACCATGACGTAACAACTTTATCAATCACCACTTAAAGAGGTCCCAAGCTAGAAAGGCTTCTCAGGGAAAAAAAAAAACCAAAACAAAAAAACGACAATGCTAGAAAATAATTTTTATTGTGGATATGGTAAAATATTCTTTTAGCAATGTTTGTTGTTAATAAAGCCTTTAATAAAATAAATATGAATGTATTAAAGACAGCTGGCCACCCATCTAAAAAAAAAATCTGCATAAGGAAAAAAAAAGCAAAAGAAGTTGATACCCAAATTCTGTTTGCCTCTGACAGCACTAAAGAAGGTATTTAAATTTACATATGGCTCAAAAGAAATCAGCTCCACAGATCCCAACAACATTATCAGCATACTGGCATTATTTTTTATGTACAAAACTTCTTCCATAAAGCTGTGCATAAAACTACACTGTTTTTATCCAAAAAAAGAGTATCTCAACTGAAAAAACACCACTCAGCAGTAGAATGCAAGTTGTGATCCTCCGTGGAATGAATTAGTATTTCGAACCCATAACAGAAGTGTAAATTGCATGATTATGGAAAGTTTCCTCCATTTTTAGATTGCTAATAAAATAGAGAAAATTAAGAACAAATGAGAGACATAACAACGCTAAACAACATTTAAAAGCTTTGCTCCTTTCGTGGATATTCCCATTCTGTTGTCCACGGTATTTTAATGCACAAAACAACCCATTTCTCTGAGACTTCTGAAATGTCTAGATGAAAGGGAAAGTCAAGGAGAGAACAGACGTTTCACTGTTTCAGTCTTCGTTTTATAGATAACCAAGGTCTGAACTTTCTATTCATCAACATAAACCCCTGCACAATGCAAAGAACACTACACTGCAGAGAAAAGATTCTCAGACTTCAGAAATAACTCGTAATATCCACGTTTAATGTCCCCTGGGGTTTTGAAACTTTCCAGCTTTTTTTTCTTTTCTAGAACTTGCATCCTGATTGACTCCCCCAAGCTCTTACACAAATTTTTAATACCACAGACTTCTTCCCCAAAGAACAGCCTATACAAGAACAGTAGGACAGCACAAGCACTTGACTACCCAGAAGCTTCTCAAACGATCTTGTGTTACCAAAATGGCATTTGACATGACAGAACTCCCTTTTCAAATACAAAGCTAATTAAAGGAAAATTAAAGATGCAATTTTAGATTTGCAAATATATAGTAACATTCTTTAAATCAATTTTGATACTTCCCCAGACCCTAAAAATCACAGAAACACTAATCACTATTTAGCATTTTTGTGTTCATCCTTCAACTGTCATCAAGTAAGACAAGTATCACCGAAGTCATGCGAACTAGTAGGAGACTGGATTCCAGCAGTCAGTCCATTCTTCACAGAATTTGATCTTCAGAAAAGTGCTTTGAAATCTATAGCTGAAAAGTGCTTCAAAAGAATGAGCTAATATTGTTGTTCTCAGCTGGCTCCATGCTATCTAATACCTCTTTCCTCCTGCAAGAAGAGGAGAGGAATAATTTGTTTGGACATCCTACCATTCTAGCTCTAGAGGATTAATAAGGGGCTAACTGCGTAATTTTGGAAAGATGCTGCTGATCCAGAGGGCTTCAGGTTAGCCTAGGAGGTTGCCAGAATCAGTGAAACAAAACTCAGTAACTAAAAAGAGGGAGAGAATCTGATTCCCAAAGTAAACATGATTACATTAACAACAAAAATAGTAGTTGTGAGTGAAAAAAATCATTTCCATAATAACAAGACTTACCATTTCAGAGTCTTGACTTTGTCCAGGAACTTTTACAGGCACTACTGGAGGCCACAGACTGTCTATCAGACTAAAAAGTCCTAATGCCCTTTAAAAAGACCAATACAATCAGGTTTAAAATGTTTTCTAGTGTTATACATTATATTAAGAAGATTGATTAAGAAATATAATCTAAACCACTGTATGATTATGAAAACAATTTTAAATCATATTTGTTTTCTGGAAGCTGGGTTTGATTTGGTCTAATTAAATCTCCATCATTTCTGCTGCAGGGTGGAGAGGGAGGGAAGGGGTGTATCACATTCAGTGAAAAGCAAGTCATATTTAATCCTTTGCCATGAGCAGTCTGATACATAATAAAATTCAGAGGAACTGGGGTAAATGCTAGCTTGGGAAGGACACAGATACCAGCACAACTTCTTCTAAAAAATAGCTTTTAACTATTTTAACTAATAGGGTTTTTTTTAAGTTTTTTTTCTAACATTTTAATTTCTTGCTTTTCTCTAACAGCTGATTGTAACTGCTTTCAGGAAAGTCAGCAATTTTCAGACAGAGAGAAACAGGCATGATTTTGTTATCTGAAGTACATGTGCAGAGGACACGGTCTCCTTCCTACACAGCTGCTCATTTAGCTACAATTTGTATTTATTTATTTTGTGAGTTTCCCAGTTTTAATTTAGAAACAAACATAAAACTAAAAGACCAGCATATTAAGGTAAGATGTTGCAGACTCTTTAGCTTTAGAAGCAAACTGTAATTTGCTGCAGTTCAGTGACTGCCTTTGTCAGTTGATAATGCATCCTTGCTGGCCAGGCAGGAACATCTGAGGGAGAGGCCAAGAAAGCAGCTAAGGGAGGGGAAATAGCTACAGATAACTAACTTGAAGAGGCATGTATTTTTGAATTAAAGCTCCCAGTTATCTTGTCCTAGTTCTCTGTTCTGTGTAGTTGAAGCACAGAGATCTGGATTTTAACCCCACACTGCCTCCAAGAACAAGCTGTCTGTTCCTCCAATTAAGAAAGCCGGTATTTCTGAAACAGTTCTAAGTGAAGCCTCAAAACAGGGTAAAAGTAATATTAGCTTCTAAACTGACTGTTTAGAAGGAAACAGCATACTCTGGTACAGGGCTGAAGCACGTTGCAATATGCTGTTTCTCTTCAAGGGGTCACAGAAACTTTTCATTTAAAGTTCTGCTTTTAGCTCACTTCTGCTTAAGCTTATTTATTTCTGTATTTCCTTAGTCCTTCTCCAGATCCTTAAGTGTTTAGACTTTGGGTGTCTATAGGCAGTGAATTTCTTCCCACGATTTTTCATAAAGCACCAGGTATGATTCACTGTTAATAGTGATGCCTTTGGACCAGCACTGTAAGAAGTTTTATGGATGTAAACCTCAGAGTGGATCTTGTGGAATAAAGTTTGTAGTTTATGATTCAGGTAACAAGCTGGCAGATTAAAAAGATGATGTTGCTACCTGTAGTCATGTTCTCCACATTAATGAACAGATCAGAAACACAAATGTTCTGCTGTTTTAACAGAAACAAACTTCCTAACTTATATGGCATCATCTCTGAGTCTGTAAAAGGAGAAGGCTGAGCTCAGAGGCTGGGTTTTTTTGGTTTGTGTTTTTTGCTTTTAACAGTGAGAACATTACAACATACAAAGCAACCCTTCTTAGGTATTAGAGACTTTACAACAAATTGACCACTTCTTGAATCCTTGATCAGTGAGATTTTCTGTCTTGTATCATGCAGAATGATATCCTTGCTACAGTCACAGGAGGGCCAGTGCCCAGAGGAACAAACTCATCTTGTTAACGGGGACATGAAAAAGGGGAGTTACAGAAAGAGAGGAGTCTCCTATATGACTCTGGGAGTTACACAAGTGCCTTCCTCACATGACACAGCACAAGGGCAAGGGCAGAGCATGGGTATGAATGTACCATAAACTCTGTGTGTGTGCACAGAAATTGCATATTTATCAACTTAGAGCAACTAAGCTATGTTGTTGCAGTGCAGATATAAGGACATCTCCACACAGGCCTTACATTGATTCCTCATCTGTATTTTTAAGCTTACACCAGGGCCATAAAGTTGTCCCTTCTTCTTTAGCTCTCTTCCAGCTTGCTACCCCATATCAGAATATCTAAGACATATAGCACATTTTCTTGTATTACTTGTGTCCTACTGCTTGGACCAGGAGCACTTAATTATTAGTAAATGACAGTATTTGTTTACAAACAGGCAGAGGAGCAGCCTTGTGTAGAGAGTGTCTCTTGAACATCTTGGCCTCATCCTTTTGTTTGACACCACTCAGGCAAAAGGCAGGGACAATTGCCACCCAAAGGATTTGTAAGTTCCAAGTCACATCCTGCTGGGATCCTTGTCTAACAAAGAGAATGTTTTTTCCTAGAGTTGTCACTGTATCTGTCAGTGTCCCTGGTGAGGAGCTCCCCTCTTCCTCCACCCATTTATACGCCTCCAAGAAAGTTAACTCTCTCACTTTACACTTAGGGACTTCGGCTTAGCTGAAGGGGGAGTGAGGTGGGGGCAATAACAGTGGAGAAATGTCAAGACACTGTGTCCTCCTCTGTAGAAAATCACTGTCCTCACAGAAAGAATAAAATTCATTCTCTTTATTGGCCAAGCAACACTCAAATCCCACTTCAATCTGACTTGAACAATGGGTGGTTTTAATCCAATATGTGTATCCTTCTTCAGCTATAGAGTCAGGACAAGAGATGAACAGCTGGCTCTGTGGTACAATGGAGGGACATGGTTAGCTCCCGTGTGCACAAAGACCCTCTCCGGCTACTGAAGACAAAAACTTAAAATTTTGCTCTGTGAGTCTAATTACTAGTCACTTAAAAAAAAAAAAAGGGGGGAAAAAAAAAAAAAAGAAAGAAAGAATTATCACAAAAGGAGAGTCTCCTAGAAAAGGAAAAGTAGAGTAAGAAGAAACAGGCTCAAGAATAAAAAAAAGAACATGTAAAGTATTCTGAATATTGGGTTTTTTGCTTCAGAGACAAGGACTCTATTGTAATATTCCATAACTTTTTTTTGAAAAAAGAAAAAAAGACTGAATCCATACCAGGAAAAGAACAGAAATCATCTATCAGATTCTAAATGAGAGACTCACCCCCTACTTCCCATGCCAGACTGAAATCTGTGCTTAGTAAAAATCTTTTTGTCCCATACTAACTATGTAGATGTCCACTTGTTTATCACCAACACAGTAAGACCATCAGTAACTCCATGGAGTGCTATAGTATAGACTTCCATAGAAGTATCGACTTAGGACAGGCAGTCCTCTACATACAAGTACTCCTCTCTTCTGTAAACCCACATCAAGATTCACTTCTATATAACGATACTTTTATATATGAGTGTGTGCATGTATATACATATGATACACAAAAAAATTATTTTTAGTGTCCTTTATTTTTATTATCCAATGTGCTCAAAAGGCATCCCTCTCAAAACTTTCCTTGCTGAACTTTGGTACATCTTTTCTCTGCATCCATAAATGCAAACTGCCTGCTGTGTACCCAGACAGCAGTCAGAGGATTTTAAAGATTTAATACTGTTCAACAGGTTAAATACATAGTTGAGAAAATGCAAAATATACATGCAACATGTGCAGAAGTTAATTGTCATCCGTTTAACAAAATGGCTTAAACTACTCCATAGAAAAATTACTGGAAGATAACAAGTGATACTAATAAAATACTATTTACGTTTCCCTCCCCACAGTTCTTGCCATAGATGATAACTGTGCTGCCCTGTACCAAAGAAGTTGCTTTCATCTGCTCACCTAACCACCTTCCTTCTCAGTTTCACAGCTCAGCAGGAGATACTTTCTGCTTCTAACCTTCCTGGCTTGTTTTGCTTTTCACTGCAAACTCAGATGGCATACATTCATATATGCATATATGCACACATGTTTGCTCTATGATCTTTGATAAAAACATACAAATAAAGAGAAAAGCTGTTGTAATTATATTTAGACACCCTGTAAACTGATAGACCACTATCTACAGTACCAGCATATCTACTCTGATCCTGTGGAAATTGAATTAATCTCATACTACAAGCTATACTACAAAGATCAAACAACTTCAAATTTTGTTTTTTCAAAACTGTATTTCACTGACTGTCATTTGACAACTTATTTCATAACTTAGTAATGAGATTTTGCTTATTTCTCTCACAAGCATGAAGTTTCATCTAGAGCTGTGGTCCAAGAACTTTGTGTGTGACATACCTGATTCAACTTTTAACATTACAGCTTACAGTTTGGGGGATTTTTCAATTTAATAATCATATCACAGGTTCAGAGGAAAATTACTACAGGGAGACAATGTCAGCACTATCAAAGAAAGTAGAAGGAAAACAATGCCCATAACTAGGAAAAGAAGAAAGCCTATGTAAGGTTACAGTAGGGGACAGGAAGTAAGATGCTAGGATTCTTCTCCAATGTCTTCCACAGCTTTGCTCTGGGAACTCAAGACTTGGCATTTGTCTGTTTCCTACTCTCCTACTCTCCCAATTTTAGTCTAAAATGAAAGAGTTTTCTTTTGGCAGTATCAGTCTCAATTATTAAAAATTTAAAAATCAAGCAATTCCTAGCTGTGAAACATCTCCTTGCGAAAAATGAAAAAGAAACAGTAATAATCACCTAGACTGCATAAGCTTCAACTATCAAAAGACAAGTAATTTGAATATGAAGCTGATACTGTACGTTAGCTCTCTCTTTAATTGTCCTATTAACATCTTGCAGTGCATAAGCTATGCAACGCTGTATTTTCTCAGACTTGAATAATAAAAGAAACAAAATAATAAAGTAAAAATTTGAGCTTACTAAACCAGTATCTCAGTCAAAATACAAACAGGGAGGAAGGGTTCCTGGCTTTTCTTCCCTAAGTTTTGTTTAGATATATGAAATTATTTTGTTGAATAATTTATTTACATACTTTAATAACTCATTATAGTACATTAGAAATAACACATACTACATTAAAAGACTATTATAATATAAAAGCACTTTTGATTCAATAGGGATATTCCTACGTTATTCTCCAATGCTGATTAC